AGCACAGCTACTGTTTACAGTACATGATAAAATACGAATCATGTGTAAGAATCCGAGTTTTTTTAAAAGTCAAATTGCAATTATCTTCCAATTTCAATTACTGCAACAATATCTAATCTATCATCACTAGATTGAAATTGTGTTATGGGTACAAAAGCTACCGTCACAACTCAATTTTGACTCGATTGCTACGTTATGATACGTCGTATGAAAACAGAGAGAGAGAGAGAGAGGGAGAGAAACAATTTCTTTGAGTCCAGTTCTCTCTTTTTTGAGCACATAGATCAGTGACATGCGTCCGGAGAGATGAAGCCGAGCGCGTATTTACTTTGCTGGGGCGTTCTCTTTCGTTTGTATTGCTTTTGCAAAAAAAGGATGCCTTTTACGCGCGTTGTTTTGTTAGGATATTTGCCTACGCTACTTCGAGCAGATCATAAAGTATCATCGTACTGAAACAAATGAAAAAAAAACGGTATTGTCCACCGAAACTAAATATATCCATTGCATATGATTCTCTGAAAAGATATTTTTAGAAATAATCAATCTTCCTTTCTTTCTCAGCTGGAGTAGCAAATAAATACTGCAAGAAAGCGCGCCGTTAATCATTAAACACTCTTTGTTGAATTATGCGGCGGCGCAGTGACGTCGCGCGGGGTGCGTGTCGGGCAAAAAGTACCGAAATAAGAAGAAGCGTTCGAAGCCGAGAGGAGAGTGCGATCGAGAGGGCCGATTTGGAGCTGTGCCACGTTCGAGCGCCGGCGGCGGGAGTGCCTGTCGAGGGCTCTACTGCGATCAGTGATACCACACTACAGAGAGAAAGAGGGAGGCATCGCCTCTCTGTCTCTCGGCGGCTGGTACTTGCGACACCGCTGTCGCGCGATGAGAACGAGAAGAGCGAGAGGAAGCAGGCGCAAGAAAGATAGAAAGAATGCTGGTGGGAGAGGCTCAAGTTAATATTGATAATCGCTCGGCTGACGAGAGGTCGCACTTCGCTCTTATTGTCTATGTAGTTTACTTCATTAATTATAGAAGAAATCGAGATGCTACAGCAACGAGAGGAAGCTTCTTGACATTACGCTCGTTGAACGCTAGATTTGCATTCTTTGTTCTTGCAAATTCCAGTGCAGATGAGCTACAAGAAAATGTCGACTAGCCGAAATTCGACTAAACATTTTATGTGTAAAATTGAAGAATATTTTTTTCCCTCTCTCCCCTCTGAATTTTTCTAAAAGTCGATAGATAAATCAGTGTCGATGAAAATTATATTGTATTATAAAAAAGAAAACACTCGAAAGTTAATTGAAGTAAGTAAAAAAAAACGAGCGAGCAATAGTGTTTTGATAGCCGGCCAAAAGCATTTTTATAGATTTTCCCTGGACGTATTATAAATTATAACGTCAGAACGTTTTAGGAATTTCTTGAGTCACGAATTCCGTTCTCTATCTCTCGCGGAATTCAAAGTGCATTTCATACCAAGAATGTGCTTTTTCTCCATCTATTTGCCTCTCTTACTTTCTTTTCCGTTCTTTTTTTTCTATTCAGTTCGATAGATCCCACAACCTTTGAAAATTTTTTCAAAAATTGGAACGACCTTTTCATTTTATTCGCACTCCAGAGACTAACAATTTTACAAAGTAAACTGCATCTCACTTTGTCATATTTTTATTTGAACTACAATTATACTTCCACGAAAACTGACAAGTAATAACTCTCGGTCTCTCTCCGTTTTGCGAAAGATGCTAAATTATTTTGAAGGGAAGAAATCTCATAATGCATATTGGAAATAATGTTAGTCAAGGTGTAAGGAAAAGAATGAGTAGGTTGAATGACAGGCGTCGAGTGAATGAGAAGGAAGAGAGAACTCGTCGGGTGGCGCGCGAGAATTAATATGAGAGTGAAGTGCCGCTGCCGCGCTGCTGCTGCCGGCGGCAAGGAAAATTAACGGAATTTCGAGTTCGCGTCGAGTAGAGTTCCGAAAGCGCTGATAAAGTGTTACTGCGCCTCTTTCTCTCTCTCTCTCTCTCTCTCTCTCTCTCTCTCTCTCTCTCTCTCTCTCTGTCTGCAGTTAACATTAATGCTGGATTAGCGGCTTGAAGAACCTTTGTGTGCATGGTTGGCCTTTGTGTTTAATTAGTTGCAACGCTGCTTTTTTTTCGTTTCGAGATTTATCATTCAATAAAAACTTTTATCCTACCGAAAAACTTTTCGCCGAGCGGAAAAGAAAAAAATATCATATCTGACGGGCGTGAAAAAAAGGGAAGCTATCCAGCTGCCGTAAATGTTAATTGCTTCATAAATCCGGTAGATCGGCGCAGCAGCAGCTCGTTGTGCTATTTTCGGAAAAAGTCTATATTTCAGAGCTTGTGTGCGAGAGAGAGAGAGAGAGAGAGAGCTACATCGATCCGATAACTTTGGGCATAGGCATGCATTCTACCGGTATGACCCTTCTCCCTCTCTATCTCCGTGAAATACGGAACTTTCCAAATCGCTTCTCTATCCTCGATAGTGAATCCAAGATTATTCGAGGCTTTGTCATTAGTGACTATTTTGGTACCCGCGGTGTCGATGCAAATTGTCAAAAATCACAGTCTGTTTTTTGAAAAAGTATTACGATTGACGTGCGCGAACGGTCGTTAATCAAAGCTGCAGTTGTTAGAATAATTCAGAGATGTTTTGAGTTAACCTTCAATTGAATGTGAATAAAGTCTCAGCATAAATGTCGCATGAGCTTGCTTTGCTTATTGTCAAGCAAATCGAATGGGTCAAGTTTGCGTATTCATAAATTATACTCGTGACCAAAAACTGCCGAAGAATAGGATTTTAATAAATTTTATTCGTTATATTTATCGATCTGTCACTGCCATCCCACGAATAACACGCATTCTCGGCCGAGCAGCCGTTAGCTGCTTTCACGTAAGCTCGTAGCGAGCTCAAGCAAAAAGTGTCTATCGTTGACCAGTGGAAAAGGTCGATGCCTGGTCAGACGCGAAAGCGTGCCCCGGTATCGCGTTAGATGGAGAGCCCAAGTTTCGTTCCGTCTGCCTCTTGTTGGCTCCTCATCATCTTGCTCGTCAGCAACGCGAGCGAAATCAGATATAGGACAGCCAGCGCGAATTACCACGTAGCCGGCCAGCAATCGAGCGACGGATAAAAATGGATGGCCGTGCGAGGGGTGGCTCGGTAACGATGTCGAAGCTTGTGTGCGGGATAAAAATAGGTCGATGTCCGTCAAAGGCCGCGCGCAGTTTCTTTCATTCGGATGCCATCAAACCGTGTGCACACGCCCGCGTGTTCCCAGGAATGACCAGTGTACATGCGCGCGTTGGCGAATTGTGAAAAGTTGATGAGATTTTCGTGAGCGCGGCTTGACAGAGCTTGACTTCTTAATTTTTCTGCTTTTTCAATCATTCTTTTACTTTAATTTTTCTTCCGACATTTATTCGTTGCCACGTCTCGTGAAAGTTTAGATTGGTAATTTTAGGGACTTTGAACACGATTCTTTTCTTTTTACAGGTGTTTGAATTAGAGATAGTCTAATAAACATCGACATAGGTAAAGATGGACAAACCAAATGGAAATGTACTGCTATTGAACTTCTGAAATTCAAAAGCTGATTAACCTAAAGCTTATCCAGCTTAATGATACAGCATGCGTTTATTTTAACATTACTGAAATAGCTTTCGGAAGGCGAAATGTTCACTTCATCTAATCCAGTTGAAGAACTTGATATGATAATATATAAAAATTGGAAGAATTAAACAATTAAGGGCAGTACAATTGGCCACGTTAAAAGCTTTGCGAGTTCGCAGGACTGTAAAGTTAAGCGAAAATTTTCGCTGCTCGAACTAGCGGGTGCATACTTTAATCACCTTCGCCACAGCCGCCTAATCGCGGAAATTGGCTTTGGCCGATCGTTAGCAACGCGCCGCGCTCCGCGATTGACCTACTTTTCGCACCTTCTATATATCCCTTCCTCTCTCTCTCTCTTTTCAACCTTCGTCATTCGTGCGAGATTAATTCCCATGGGGAGGCGAGTCTAAATTAATAACGCGGCCAACGCTCGCGCGTGGCGCTTTCGTAAGACCGTCGCTTTACATTTTTGAGGCTGGGTGAGCAAAGGGGGAAAAACCTTCTACTCGAACCGGTGTAAAGTTTAATGCGTGACGTAAGACTTAATGGTTTAACTCGTTTGAGCGATATTAAAAATCAGGACCTACACATGCTTACTTTTGCATCTATTCATTGCAATTTTTAAAACATTTTGGCCTCTCAAGAGTAATTCAAGTCTAATATATGCCGTGATCAATTGCAAAGGAAAGCCAACGCTAATATAAAGTATAGCGCAGCTATGCACGCACTGACCGATTAAATAAATAAAGACGGGCCATGTGTCTACTGAACGTCGATACTCTACAATCGTGCGCTACACCGTCTATCAAAAAAAAAAAAATTTTTTTTAGCGCTCACTGATTGTTCTTTACACGTTGCGGATTCCGCAAGTGCGCAATTAATTATTCAGCCTCCCTTTGCCTCTATATACGGCGAAGCTTAAGGCACATAATTACCAGCCTAAATCGTTTTCCAAACGTTAAATTCCGCACACGCTGTGTTTTCACGGTAATAACGGACCTTTGCTCGCGCCTAGCAAGCAGCGCAACATTCGAATGTTTAACCTATTTAAGTTTGCTCATTCTCCCGTGCGCGTGCAAATCATTATTAAGTCGGGAATCACGCGATGCGAAAAATGGTGAGAGAGGCAGCCGTTGATTTGGTAGTTTTTTTTTATCACGGCTTTCGTGACTCGCATAATCCAAAATCAGCAATGCTCTTGAGCATACATTTACGCGTACGCAAATGGTTACAGCTCGTAGTGATAAATCAGGGTTAGCTTAAAAGTTGTCGAATCACACGTCACTAAAAGTCATTTGACGCGCTAATAGAGAGCGTGTTAACGTCGTCTCGCGAGACGAAAAGATGAAAGTGAAGAAACAGGTACTCACGCAGAGGCTGGTGCGATGGGTACAAGGACGGCGGTGGCGGCAAGTAAGGCGGCGAAACCCCAGGTGAGGGCCTGGCCGGTACGGCTCGTCACGCCGGCGACGGCGTCTGCGACGTCGGCTGGCGGCATCCTCCTCGTCGTCTTGGGCAGTCGTCGTGGTAGTTGTGTGTGTTTTTAATGCGTGATCTGTTTATTTAATTGCTTGCAAAATGCGTGGCACTAAAAACAACAGCACTTGTTCTTGTCCTTCGATCCCCTCCCTCTTGCGGCTGCTACTCTCAAGTTCGTCGTGTCGTCAGAGGAGTGGCATGCCGGGTGCTTTGAGTGGTTAGGTATGGGTTGCGAGATATATACACAGTGAGTAAGGAGAAGAGGCAGGGAAAGAGATAGAGAGAAAAAGTGAGGTCCGAACTGAACTGTATGGGGAGGATTAAAAGGGATATATGTGGCGAGATAAGAGACACAAGAGGAGGAGACAAGAAAGTAGGAGCGGTTATTTTGTTGTTGTTGGAAGCCTTCTGACGGTACAGATATATATATGTATATATATATATATATGTGTGTGTGTGTGTGTGTGTGTGTGTGCGTGCGTGTGTACGCGTGTGTGTGTATGTATATCTCGATGTGTGTATATATATCCGTATCCGTGTAAGTATCACACTCGGTAGCAATAATAAGCACACTCGTAAACGCGCGTCGCAAAACTCGTCGTCGATTCGTTTGTTCCTGCTGTCGTTTAATTAATTTATTGTTCAAGAACACACACGAGCGGAAACGAGAGCGGGGTACCCTCGTTCCTCAGGAGGACGAGGCGGCAACGGCGTCGGCAGCTCCCGTCGTGCGCAGCATCTTGCTCGCGCTGCTGCAGCTGCGCTATGCTGGACACGGCGCTCACCGCGGGAGTGGCGCTCTCTTGCTACCCCCTCAGCACTACGCTCGGCTCCTCCGGTGCCTCACCGCCACCGCCGCACCACGCGCACGCGCAACCCCAGCAGCAGCGCTACAGATCGACAGAATGCGCGCGCGTGCGAGCAAGGGGAAGGGACGGCTGTGAGAGAGAGGATCGCACTACTGACCCGGAGGCTGCCGCCACTGCCGCCGCTGCTAAAGCACCCTCCCGAGTCTTTTCTCTCGCTTGCTCTTCCTGCCGGAGTGTGTGTTTATGGCTCTCTGGGAGAGAGGGAGAGATAAAGCGCGCAACCCCACGATTATTGCGATTGATTTCAAGGTTGAAAATGCGTGACTATGAATTTTCCGTAGTATTTTTTCTTTTACGTACGAGATGATTTGCGCTAGTAACGCGTGGAGAATTTTTTCCGAAATGAGGATCTTTCGGGTAAAGCTTCTTATGGATTTCTATAAATAACGGGTTTGAGATATAAGCACGTTCATATGAAGGATTGGAATGCTGATTAATAATTAAAGTTTGGGTGTTTTTCATGACATCACTAATTTTAAAACATAAATCATCTATGATATTTAATTTTGTAAATAAGTTACTTGTCGAACTTGTATACTTTTTAAGTACGAAAATATAAATGAAGATTGTTTTTGTTCTTAAGTTATCGTCTTTATGAGAATATTTAGCTGAAGTTTGAGAAATCCTGCCGTTGTCTTTTCTAAACTCGCAAGATAGCATTTCAGAGTAACGTCATTAAAGATTGAGAAAGTTCAATTATGCAATAATTTATTAAATCCAGCGAAAAAAAAGAATAAAAAAATAACACATATTCAGTAGTATCTTCCGTCCTAAATATTAAATTGACATGGTTGATTAGCTTGATATAATAACGCACAAACGCAGGAATAAACCACAATTAAACTATTCTCGATTTTAACTCGGTAAATTTGAATTCAATAGCAGCAGCATCACGCGATATATTTCAAGTGGCTTTTTATAGAAACTTTTGCATATACAGAATTAATGTAACGTTGTTGTGGTTCACCACTAACTATAGTCGAGCTAACTTCCTTTTTTACATAAGTTTACTTAAACACGTTCCGGAATTCCCTGCAACCGCATACATTAAAGCTCGCGCGCGCCGTATACATAACTTCTTGATAGGAAGCTCTAACATGGTACATATATGTTACTTTGTTCTTTTTTCACTTTAATACCAAACAGTACGAGCTTTTTATCAATTTACCAAAGTTATTTATAATTTCTTTTGAAGCAGCTCACGCATATCCACCTCATATTAAGTGTTACTCACTGTTTTTTGGAGCATTTTTGCATTTCGCGCACCCAATTACAAAAACAGTAGTACGTGTCAACTGGAGAGAATTGAGCGATACATTCTAGAGAGGAAGGGAAGAGAAAGAAAAAGTTTACATTTGAAAATCGACTAGGCATTTCGGTAAGTAAACAAAAGAAGCAACATTAAGAATACCCAGAAGAATCTAAATGTTTGAAAGAGCCTTTAGTCGGAAGAATAACTACTTCCAGCAACTCCTTAACGTTAGGGACAGATAACAAAGGCAGAGCGCAAGCTTGGGCAGAATTAAATATTGAACACGACAGTTCTCGCATGTGCATTCAAACGGAGTAGTGGGGCCAAATCCTCAGTAGCGTCGTTGAAGAGGTAGACTCGTTAGAAAGAAGCACGCTAACGAGATTTCCAAGGCAAGAATTCATATATATGCTCAAGAAACTCTCTTTTGACAAAAAAGGCCTTGTTTTTACAAAGTTTATCTTTCTCCCTTTCCCCTTCTTCTGAGAACTTTTAGTTTTATGTTTTGCAAGATACATAACTCGCAGCATATATATATATATAACCTAGGCGCTTAATTAAGGGAGCAGTTGTCCACGTTTCATCCTATCAATTTTCCGAGCCCGTGAAAGTATGGAATTATGCGTGAGCTGCTGCCCCCAAGCTGGCGCTTAATTATTCAAGGAGAAAATAATTATGGAGCAAGGAGGGGAAGCGGAATACTTTTTCTTTTGCGCAGGACATCGAGCTTCTCAAGAGCTTCGCGGGGAAGTGCGCTTTAATTATGCGCTGAATGTTTGATCACTGAATTAATCGTTTCATTACTTGTGGCTTTTTCAGCGCGGTTACTAGCTATTTGTAGCAAAATTAGTTTTGATCTCGTTTCTTTAGTTTGTTTATTCCTCAATGATCGATTGAAAAATAAAAAATAAATTATTTTAATAGTTCTGATTCTTTTATTATTTTTACTTAATGCTTAACGGAGATATTGCGTAATCGGAATGCATAAAATATTTACGATAAAAATATCGACACTGTTTTAAAAAACGTAGATTCGCTTCCAATGTATTCTTATATAGAGACCAGCTTTACGCACAGATAGTTATGATGTGTAATGGAATAGAAGAAGAAACAAAAAAATACACCACGATAATACGATCGTGAAAAGGCAACATCATCGTAATATACAAGCCATTTCAGTTTACTGTGGCAGCAGCTTTTTGAAATATATAAATGTGTGTGTGTGTGTGCGTGTGTATTTGAATACATAGTAGTATTTAGTTTTGAAATCTTAGGGTTTTGTTTATTTGCAAAGTATCTGATATTTATTTTTATGTTAAAATCAGTGAGAAAAGTAAAAAATATGTGTTGAAAATATACGATTCCATTTCATTACATTATCAATTATCGATGAGCTAATAGCATTTTCTCATTATCTACATACAACTGAATATATGGCAAATGAAAATGTACATTTTCGAATTAGCTCATTACGATTCTAATGATATTAGTGGTACACTTGGATTTTCATGGAAACTTTCATTATTATTCCATTTTGACTTTATAAATTAAGAATTTGATAATAATGTTATGATATATAAAACTGAATAAAATAATCACGGTATAAAACTGAAATAGCTTTTGAGTGACAGAAACATGACTGGAAATAAAAATCTACAAATACAGACGAAGCCTTTGCTAAGAAAAAAGAAAGAGAGAAACAATCACGTGAAATATAGCCGAAAATCAATGGATGCCATGTACGAGCCGCGAGCGTCCGCTTGATCGATGAACCGACTGCACAGTACCAAACAATAAAAGAGTTTAGTGAGTGTGTAGAGGGAAAACCCCAGAAGCAGTAGGTATACGTATTTCTATCGTTTTGAGCCATCACGTGGAACAAAATTCTTTTTTTTTTCTTTTATTTTTTTTTGTTATGTCGACGAAAAAAATAAAAAAGAAAAGCGGCGATATGGGCATTGATAAAACGTAATGGATGTGTTGGCATGCGATCGGCTTGTGGAAGTGCGTCAGAAAAAAAGCTCTAGCTTAATAGTTTAAACGATTGTTAACCTTTGCTATCATAGTGTCGTGCAGTCGCGAGCATGCAGAAGCAACAGATTTAACTTTTCTTTTCGTCTGGTCTTTCAAGGGTAACGCCGACTTTCCATTTTTCGTTTGCTTCGTTACTAGTTGAGAGTATCAATTGTTTTTAAATGAAAATATATAAATTCGACACATCCATAGTAAATTTTGACTAGATTTTAACTCTATTTCATCAATAACTTCCTCGGTACGCTTTAAAAGAATCAATGTTGAATTTGCAACAGATTGCATAACGCGCTATCACGAGCGCTATCCATTTTTCTTCGTACCGCACAGTAACAGCATCGACGAAGCAATCAGAAATATCTTTGAAACCGCACGACACGTTACCCCTAAATATATACAGTGAAACTGCATTTTCGAATTTTTCTTTCGTATCTTTCTTTGTCCCTCTCTTGGACATTGCATTTTATGCAGCAGTAGTAACTTCGTATTTTCTGTGGCGGTGCGTTCAATTGTGCTCTCTTTCAACGTCGAGAGCACAGTTAACATTTAATATCCACGGGAAAGATAGAGAGAACGTTCAGCTGAGCATACGTTCTCGCTGGCGTACGAAAATCGACCATTGTGCCTTTTTCCAACGTGCAGCATTTTTCCGCGACGTTTTTTCTTTTCCCTTTTTCTTTTTGGTTGAGCGTTTCTGCGCCAATATTCATTCGACAAAACTCATTTCGTCAAATTGACGTTTCGCGTATTTATTTTTCATTTGCCTCTGGCTATCAATGTGTATGCATTTATAGTTCTTTAGAAAGGTATGTTTTGGTTTAGCGATTCAAGTATGTACAATAATTATTTTTTATATATCGTATCTCGTCAAAGTTGTTTTATTTATTTGTTTTCTTAATTGAGAGAGAACGAAAGAAATCAACCAATTTCGTTTTATCGAAAAAACAATCGAAGCGCATTAGGGAAGCCAAGCATGAACAAAATTTACTTGTCAGTTACATTTAAGGTATAATGAATTAATTACAACATCACAAATTGAAGGCAATCTTCCGTTTCAAAAGAAAGTACAAAACAACGCATGAAATAATAAAAGAAAATAACGAGCGTGGGCATAAAAATGGTAACGGCGCTAAAAAAACTTCGTATATAGCTCTTGTGACATGAATTTAATTTACAATACTGTACGGGCATTTTTTCACTTTGCATTCGCATGGTGCATACTCCGTACAGTGTATACTTCTTTATCTTCATGAAGAAAAAAAACAATATGTTATTGCCAAAGCTTTCACTTTTACGCTTCTCTCTTTGTATTTCTTCTCATTCCCCTGTCTCATGCGTTCTTTTCTGCCCTACTACGCTCCCTTCCACCTCTACAGTTTTCATTTTTTACGAGCTTTTTATGTACGTTGTCACACTTTTGCCATTTTATATTCTTTTATGTTTTCACTGAGGCTCTCGATACTTTTATTGCTGCTTCTACCGTTTTCGACTTTTATGAAAAATATTGCTCTTCCAAACTTCAAATCCGATAAAAAAGCAATGATACTTCAAACTTTTATTTTGAGAATGTATATCGAGTTAGAATTTAATATTCGCTAATTTATTACGAAATGCAAAAAATAAAATTGTGTATTGTTCTG